TTGTTAGGCATGCTTGAGTAGTGCGGCCCGTAAAAGCTCTACATCTTTTTCACCCATTTCGGATGCTGACGGTTACTTCAGACTTCCCATCCAAGATTAGAGTAAGTGCGGCTTCATCGTCTCCTCCTCTCTTCATCTGACTACATCAAAGTGCCTATATCGCAGATAGCACTCTCAAAAGCAAGAAACTTGCGTGCCGTCTGGACCTAATTAGAGGTGGCCGAGTAGGTTGCAAGTCGAGGCGCCATTGCGTGTTTCATCTCGAATTCGAGATTCTGCGCTCTAAATGCACCACTATAGTCGAGAACTACACCGTTAAAACCAAATCGTTTTGTTAAAAGCTTAAGAAGAGAAAAGAAGAACTAAGAGCAATGTTTTGAAAGAATTTATCCCCAAAAATGAATATTCGCAAAGCAGCTGACTTTCCCCACACTAAATCCTGTTTACTTCCTTGGACTATAAACATCGGTAACTACATCTAAGTGCGTATGTCCCTTATGTAATTGCAGGGACCCGCTTTGAAAAGTGTAAAGATAACCACAAGCCTAATAGTCTAAATTTCTCCACATGCTTCAAAATCCATTTGTCTACGGTGTTACGCAAGTTCTCGTATTTATCCTCAATGTATTGTAGCAAAAATATGAGGCATTTTCCTCTGACTCACAACCACCAACTATAAGTGCACTGTGACATCTTCGAAATAATCCCTTGGACTGACCTTAATACACCCTAATTGAATTTGGGCAATGAAACAGACCCAGATCGATCGCGCGGAGTATTTTTTATTGTCTACTTCTTTACGTAACCTTGCACTCTGTTACCGCTACTTCTTTGTTATTCTTTTTCTGCTACTTCATAGGCTTGGCAGATACTTTTTGTTGCATTTAATATACTCAACGTGAGGATATAACGGTATTTCTCGAGGATGCCATCGCTATCGATGATTTCGATAAGCTATTAGGCTAGATAATGACCTTAAATCGTAAGCTTACATGCAGCGACAAATTAGAACAAAGTTGCGTCAAAGCCCCTTATATAGTTAATCTTGAGACATATGTGCAAACACTCTCCTATATAAGCCAACAGAAAGGTTTGCTTGATGTATTAGATTGACCTAAAAATGAATCGTTTTTCCAAATAGATAAAACTGTTTCTATTGCTAGCAAACTTGAGATAACATTTGATAGAGTAAAGCAAGCACATAATGACCACCAGAGATCCACCTAAGTCGTGATCCAAGTAGAGTTCGGAGCCAGGTTCAAGAAAAAAATTTAATACCTGGGAACTGATTTTCGCGAAAAAATCTAGGAGGCTCATTGGTGATCATATACAAGATACATAGTATTCATCAATGCATTTGCTAGATTTTTTCGCGCATAGAAATCAAGGAAAAAACATTAGTCCAAAAATGGCATACCCGCCCCCAGCTCCTCCTATGTGATTGTGTACTGCAAGACCTAGTAAGTATAACGTTATAACAGTGGCGCAGGGGGGAGGGGGGACGCCTTTACAAGTTGCTTACATGAGTTATAAAAATGTGCAAGTGACTTGTTTATATTTATAATTGATTGAAATAATTTTGAAATGGAATTAGCTTGATAAAAAAATTTTTTTTTCGGAGGAGTGGCCGGTGCGACGCCCCGCCCCCTTTCCAGAAATTTCGGGGTTCGGGGAATTTTAGGAAGCATACTACCAAAGAGTTTTCGGAGTGCACGGCTAACGCCACGCACCTTCAGCAAAAGAATTTTTGCCCCCCCCCCCCCCTTGAACGGAATTCCTGAGTACGTCACTGCTTTATAATTATATCTCGTTAATGCTTTCGGAAATGAGAGATACTAAGTTTAACACCAAAAAACCGAAGAAAGTGGCATTTTTGCATTTTGGACGTTTTGGACTATTTTTATTTCTTTAATCAGAGTCTCGAAAAGAATGCAGCTAATTTATATATGAGTAACCTGTGTGTCTACTGTAGACTAAGCTGGAGGTCTTTGGAGATTTTTTGAAAAAAGATTCGATTTTTAGGGTAGTCGAAAAATTAGCTCCAGACTTTACCTGCATGACAACTTACTTAGATGCATCCTTAGAAGTCGTTATACAGACTTGTATATTTTATCGTACTTTATGGTACCCTAAGTCTGCTAGGAGAACAAAAACACTTTGATTTGTATAAAAAAATGGCTTAGTTTTGTGAAAGCCTAATACAATCATTTCAACAAAACGAGCTGCGAAATGAACGTTGTGTGCGTCAAGAAAATCTTCAATTTTGGAGAAATTTCGGAGTTTTCTGGAGCAGGTTGTTTGACACGGAACTCTATAAATCAGCTTAGTTTGAACTACCGTCCTCCATATTTCATTATTCGCCAATGCGATTTACCAAAAGATTCAAAGCCTTATAAGCATTTTTGAAATCTTTCGCGAAAAATTATCAACTCGCATTTGTACAATTTTTCAAAGCGCCTTGTGAAAGTCTACAAGCCATCTCTATGCTGACTTCCTCATCCAAGCATAGGAGTGCGCGATTAAGTAGTACATAATAGTAAGACTATAGACGGACTTACGCTTCAGCTCCAGTGCATTCATGTCCTTTTTCTGCGAACACTGACTCAAATCGAACGTAGCTCGGAGTTGCGCTTCTATTCTGTGAAGGAAAATTATTTTCTAAAACCTCGCCACTATTTCTTTCTGGTATAATAGAGACGGTTGCTACGGTCCTCCCATGATGTCAATCGGAAGACGTAGACGCAAACTCGTCAGTAAGTCCTTTTATGCCCTTTTCATGTCATTCATAAGAAATTAGTCAAAGTGTAAAGTCTTAGCGCTAACATTATATTAGCTCTTTTGTTTAGATGAAAGTGCTGCCCACGCAATTAATATGAGCGAAAGATTAATGAGTAAACGTCATCTATGTCAACAAGTTTTCAGTCGTAGATTAGAGTCCTTTTCTCCTCTTCATTTACCGGTTCATATTAGCTGAGTAAGCACGAAACCTTCTTGGCTGTCAGCAACATTCAGGTTAGCTGAGAAGCTTACCAGATCTAAGAGATTATGAAAACTCGAAACATCCTTGTAGAAACCGTCAAAGCATGCCCATACTGTTATCATAATTGTAATTCATTTCTTTACCAAATAAGACTGTGAATCACGTTAAACAATCGAACAATAAATTGGAAGAAAGCAAAATTATGAACCCCAATGCATTAGCGGCAATTGGGGAAATATTCTGGGAGGAGCAAACGGCAAAATTTTTTCGAAAGAGGGGCGGGCGTGGTGTCATCCAAGCCTTTCGATGTAATTTTTTCGGACCAGTAATTCTAAATTTTAGAGAAAGGGGCGTCAGGGATCAAAGGATTTTTTTGCAAGAATGCTTCAAGCTATGAAAAACAAAGGAATATTTCAGTTATTTACAACTTAAAACATTTATTTATAATTGCAAGCCTGCCCCTCTGATCACCCTGCGACCCACATAAGCTATTTACTCCGCTGCACGCTGCCATCAAGCACAGAGAAGTAAACAAATTTTTTATTTGCGTAATTTTTTCGAAGAACAAAATTAAAGCATATTTCTGATTTAATCGCTTTACAAGTGCATGACAAAAAAATTTCTCATCTGGCAAAGTAATGAAATTTGGGACCATTGCGCAGAGGCCGAATAAATGTTAGGAGCGAAAAAACCCTAAATCATTATCACCTTTATATATAGCTTTACAAACTGGAGGATTTTTCAGTTACTTTTCACAATCAGAGCTCAAGCACCACTAAGATTAAATTTTGTCATAAACAACTATCTCCACATCATATCTAGACGGTCATTTCACGCTTATTACCCTTTTCTGTGTATTTTTATGTTGAGAAGGCTGGCTAATAAAAGTTGAAGCATGAATTAGAAAATTGCTATTGATACCTCTATGGATTCCATCAAAGCGCAAAAACGCTAAACATTTCAAACATCAAATCTCCCTTCTTCCTTGTTGTCAGCACGTAATCAAATGATCCATTTATCACTCATGGAAGGCGAGAAGAGAAATCGGAAGCAATATTCTATAGCCCTTTTTGGAATTGCAAATCGTTTCGGGATCATTACGCCGAAGTTAAATGTGACTTCTTTGACAGAGCACATGCTATATGAAGCAAACTGCATTATATCTAACTTGCCTTGTGATTTGCAACAGAAATTCATGAAAACCCGTTTGATTCAAGACTTTTCGATTTATTTGCTTTACATTATGTTAATGAATCTAGAATTTGATTACATATTTGAGATTCCATCATGTCGAAATCAAAATGAGAAAAAAATAACAAAATACATTCCTTGTTGGTTCATTAGTAGGAATTCCCCTCAGTTGGAAAAGAGTGGGTAACAAATCGAGGGTCAAGTCAATAATGATTGAACCTTCTAGGTTTTCTAACATTTTTTGACATCTTTGACGAAATTAAAAAAAACGATATAATGCTTTTTTTATTAGCTCGTATCGTATCGATCTGTGAGCAAACTTTTGCATTTACTACCATAACAAAAATGGTGATTCACTTTATTCTAAACATCTCGGACCAAACGAACTTACTACAGTGGTGGAGTTTACGATTTCAAAAACAATCAGGGCAGGAGTATAGGACAGCTAACAGCAGTTTCGGTCTCATAACTGTGGAACAAAGAGAAAACTCGCATGTCTGGGAGTTAAAATAGAGACGCACTTTTTTGTTTTTGTCGGTTTGGAGTGGAAAAATTAACCCTCCTGCTAATTAGAACAATGATTAGATAGTACATGTTTCTACTAAGGGCATATAATGGGGTGACTAGGATGATTAACTAATGTTCTTATCTTCGGTCAGCAGCAATTTCTTAGCAGTTTCGCATTTTTGTCCTCTCCTTTCAAACAACGAGTTACAAGCCAAATTTTGGTTTTGCTGTTCTATGAGACCCCAGACTACCCTCGCTTGATTTTCGACTACTCTTTGCTGGTTTTCGAGGTGCTATTGATGAGACCACACTTCACATTTAGGACGACCAGGAATGAGAGTGGGTCGCCACACTCGCGCCACGCTCTCGATGGACGAGGCGGGGGCCAGCGAGCGGCCGAGCCGAAAGATGAGCGCCGACGCCGTCAGCAGGAAGAGCTCGTTTGTTCATTCGAGAGTGGTAAGGTTTCAGAGCTTTCACTCTCGGCTAATGGTTGCCAGCCACCTCGAATGAAATCATATGTTGCAGATGCAAAAAGCGCGGCAGGAGTATCGTGTGCATTCAACCGAGGACGTCGACGGCAGGGGCAGTGATAGCTCTTTGAGGTGAGAGCCTCCAGTGAGAGCCCACACCCTGTTCATAAGCTCGCCGATGTCGTTCCCTGGGCTTTCGAGTGTTCTTGCAGCGTCAAATTCTTCATTTTGCTTTCGTTCGCGCTCGCCTCGCTTCAGCCATAATCCATCTCTATATTTATTGCTGTGCTTTGAAGCGTTTTGCAGCTTTTCGATGCTTGTTTTGTTTTCTCGGCTTACCCATAGTCTACAGAACATCATTCCTCTTCCATGGTTGCTGTGGCTGTACTTCTTCAAGTTTCATAAGTTTTTTGCTAAGCTCATACAGTAAACGACAATTTTCCTACCTACTCTTCTCCACCCACCTATCTCCAAGCATTTCCAAAAGATCTGCTTTGTACTTCTACAAGGATATTATCTCACCATTTTTAGGGATTCTGCAATGGATGAGCCTTCGTGCTCACTGGCAGCCGATGACGGAGGCACACGTAGAGCTCGTTCAGTAACTTCCAGTCGAATAAGCTTATTCTTCGCTAAGGTCAGCTTTCCATTTCCTTTGGTGCATAGAACAAGCAGATATGTAGAAGAGCTATTGTTATCTCTCAGATTAAATAACTAGCTAGAAAAAACTAAAAATTATAAGTCTTGTAAAATCTCATGTCTTTGTTGGATCTTGCATGCATGCCATGCGTGCCAATAGTCTCAGCCATGAATTTAAAACTATCTTTTATATCATCATATCTTGGATTTTTTAATATGAAAGAGCTCCTAAGGTTTTAAAAAAATGTTTTTTGACAGCAATCAAACCAAGAAGCGGGTGGGAAGTGTCATGTCTGAAATGATGTCCATATGAGAGCATTTTCTATCATTTTTTTTCTCGCAGCTTGGGTGATGCCCGAAAGTGAATGATTGATGGGAAGTAGAAATTCCATTGCTTTATGGGACACAAGGAGGAAGGCAAGAGACCGAATATAAAAAGAAAAGTGACAATCAATCAAAGCCCTTTCTCACTCGATTTGGTAGTCTCTTCAAATATAATACGCAATGAATGCACAGGGTTTTACAATATCATTGTTAGAAATGGTAATTCAAGAAGCTAATATCTTTGTGGCAGGCCCTTATTGGCATCATTTTTCACATCGTCTCAGGGGGTGTAGATTAGCGTAACGTAGCAGTGAGAGAGTTTTTTTTTTGTAGTGAGCTAACAATGTAAATTCCTTTCTTTCGAAAGATATGTAGCTGCGCATTTACGTCAATGTCTTGCAAGAAAATCTCAAATTTCCACCTGGTAATTCTGAACTCATAAAATGCGTCATTGCTTCTAGGAGAAGGAAATGCTGAACAAATTGAACGAAATGAAAGAAAGAACGGAACCAATGACTAGCATAATTCCGGAAATCGAAAACCATTGGACCGATATAGTCAGCGACCGTGGGGTAAGTCATACGGTAGAAGCGACGTCGCTGCTTTCGAATGATCTTTTCCAGTCCTTAACCCGAAGACACGTAGATCAGCAAGAAGCTATATGGGAAATTGTCACTACTGAATATCGTTATATACAGGTATACAAAAAGGAAGCTCACTGTAGGTAAAATACCGTATATCTGGTTTTCCAGGTGCTGAAAAATATGCATGACTTATCCTGCTACTTTATCGAGCTGCAAAAGATGGGCTACTTCAAGTAAGTTACACATCCTGCCAGATTATTCCACATTTGCTAGTTTTTCACATCTCTCCTCCATCCTAACTGACTCATTCGGAAAAATTTGCTTACTTCCTTCTAAAAGTTGTATGTATGTAACCATCCTTGACTACATAACATACATCACAGCATTTTCCTTTTGCTTATTCATCTAAAATACACAAAACGTCGAAGTCTTCACTCCAGCAATTCATTGTAGCTAACATTTAGCTTCAAAGTATTTAGAGCTGTATTGGGTCATAAAAAATCCGCAACGCTAACTAAAGAAGCAACTTCATTAGAGAATTATTTATGCTTTATCATGATAGCGAGATTTATTGTTAACACAGTCTGAAAAAAAGCATGCTGGCTTGGTACTGCGCCTTTGTTCGCATACATACTTCTCAAAGCTTGCAGTACTTGAGCTCTTTGCCTGCCATTCCTAATTCCAATTCTATCAGCCTTTTATCATTGCAATCTATCCTGTAAACATTTTTTTGGTATTTTGCTTCGCGACCATTCGCGAACAGATTTACAAATTTCAAGAAGAATAATGACTTGCCAAATTGCTACGTAAAGAATTCTGCTCTTCTATCATAGTCTTTTGCTTGCCTTTATTGCTTCGTTAATTATGAGCGCACAAGGTTCAACACTTCTTACATATCTTCTTCTTCCTATCATGCCGAGATTTATTGAAACTCGCACTATTTAATTGCTTCTCACATAATTTTTAGAGGTTTGACGAAGGTCGTAGTAATCATATCATCCATGCAAACGCAACAAAGATAGAGCGCAGTAAAATTATCGATAGAAATCCTTTTATGAAAAAAGTATGTTGTTGAAAGTCGACAAATTTTCTAGATGCCTAGAAGGTGAAAATGCTTCCTTAAGACTCAGATTTTCCCTAGATGATTTTGCCGCTAGATGATTTTTGCCGTAAGCTTCATTGTGCTGTTCTTAAATGTTATTGATATGTATAAGGTAGTCAAAAAAACACTAGAAAATATTCCGTTCAGCTCAAAACTCTTAATCTCCAAAAATTTTTAGCTGATTCAAGGTTTTCTTATTTATTCATACTTAATGTCACCAGTGTGACTGAAACACAGTTCTTACATACAAACCATTAGAACTCTGTATTAGTAATTTCATGATGTGATGAGCTTTTGTTCGATCTTGTCAAAGCAAAAGCAAGGTAAACCTGAAAGGTCATATCATTTGCTATTTACGCAAATCCATGTTATTTGCTTGGCTGACCCAAGAGTACATCACCAAGGAGATGGGGCATTGTTGCAATTCCATTACATGTCATTCTACACCTTTTCAGGGGCTAATTTTACAAATTTCGCAAAGTGAAAATTCCGGAGTCTTAGTCCGAACAATTTCGAAATTTTTGCCGGTGTTTTACCTTTCTTTATCACCGCCATACGATCATCAGATCTCAGTCTTCACTTATATCTACTGAACGAAACGTAAGCGCAATTTAAAAATCTGCAAATAGCGGAACCGCGTGGCGGTCCCAGCGCGCGTGGATGCAATCTGGCCCTTCAATTACTGATTCAATAGTTCCTAGCATACTTAGAGTATCAAATCTCAATGATTTCAGGGAGATCAGCGTGGCAAGGGTGTTCTTAAACTATTCCGAACTTTTCACTGTCAATGTGATTTTTTGGCGCCGAGCTATTCAACCGCTTTTGGACGCTTCAAGGTCTGACCATCAGTCATTTTTCAAGACTTACCATCTCTAATTCTGTATTAACTTTTCTAAAATAAATTGCATTCCAGGCAATCCCGGAAGCCCTTCGATCCTGTTATGCTGTTGAATGGCTTCGAGGACATCAGTGAATGGTCCAAATGCTATATTCCCTTCAACCTAGGTCACGATGATAGCCACACTTATGTTCAGAAGAAACAAAAAGACAATGAGATGTTCCGCGAATTTGTACATGTACGTTACCTTTTTTGCTTCATCTGTCCGTAGAGGATTTCATGAACTTTTTAGTGGGCTGAATCGCAGGAATCTATGCGACGACAAAAGCTCTGCGACACTCTGACCAGTCCTATGCAAAGGTTGACTAGATACAGCCTTTTGCTCAAGGTACGCACCATTGAAAACTAATCCTAATGTCCCGTCGGCAGTCTTTATATATATTGAGATATATTCAACTTGCAGGCTGTACTATCCAATTCGACCGACGATCGCGAGCGCCTGATAATCCAGAGTAAGTGTAAACTTACAATTAGTCTAATTGGCCTACTCAGCTCAAAAATGAACAGTAATTCTGATAGTTTTTGTAATTTTTAGCGAATAACATTTTAGAGTGTTTCGTAGCAATTCGCTTATGATTCGCTTGTCACAGATCGGTACATCCCTCTTGTCTGGATAATTTGCATGAGTTTTTACCGTAAAAATCTCATCTACAGCTGCGAGCTTGTAATTCAATGACTGCAAAAAAAGTCTCAGTATGAGATTACTTCTCTATAAATGTGGTGCTGAATCATGCTGAGGTCTCGTTTGTGTTTTGCTATCATTATTGGATTTAATACTCACAACGCTCTACAAGAAATTAGGGATGCTATGTTGTCTATAACAAATGACAAAACATTTTACATGAATCTCATAACTAAATTGATATTTACAATGTTGAGTCTCAATAGTTCTGCTCGTGACCCAGAATTCAAATTTGAGTTACCACTAGTCAATTTTTCATGAAGGATTTCGTAAATGAAAGTTTAGTGAAAAGCTTTACAAAAAACGAATCTATGCAATTCTATTCCAACTACAAAATCGTAGCACTGACAAAAAAAATCATCAAAAAATTTGTGATGCATATTTAGAGAATGTGAAATGCTTTTACTGTGAAATGTAGTAGTATATAGGCTATGCCAAATGTACTGCAAAATCACAGAGCATTGCTGGTAGTCTCGGGATGAAATTTTATTCGCGAATAGCGGAAAACTTTGGAAGAGGTCACTCACTGCAATCTTTCTAAAAGAAATTTCTTTTCAATTGTCAGTCTGGAAATTTTTGGTCATTTCCTTTACAAACTCGTCTTGAACACCTGAAAGTACAAAAAATAGAAGGAAGATTGCAAATATTCTAAAAAATTCTTCTGCTTATCCTTATTCAAGCAAGCGGAGGAAAAAGCTTACAGAATTTATCTTCCTGCATTTTGAGTATTGATGAACTTCTGAGAGATCTGAAAGACTGGACTAGGACTTTTTGACTGCATAAAGAATGTCCATGATGTTATCCTCTTCAATTGCAGCACGTAAAAGAAGATTTATAGATACAGGCAATTCCATATCTAGTAATTCGCATCCGTCGGCCTTCATGATAGCACATATATCTCTGCACTAACTTTTTATGATAAAGAACCGAATGTGTTTTTGCTATTGCTAATGCCTGAAGACAATGGACTTATTGCAGCGATGATTGACAGAACTGATGCGGCAACTCAGCAGCTCAACTTTGAACTGAACAATAATGATTTACGATTACAAATGGCAGAAATTATGAAAAGCATCGATGGATACGATGCTGTTGATTCCGAGGAATTTGAGAAGGTATGGTATCGATACTTTAATGAAATTTTCAGCAAACCATGTCGCTTTAGTTATTCCCAAGCCGTCGCACCACGCTGGATCTGATGGCACCGATGCCACTCCTTCCCGGTCCGCCCCAGTTTCGTCGTGTTATCCATCGAGGTAACCTGAAGGTGCGGGAGAGCCGGCAGGGTCCAAAGGTGAATTTTATTGAAAAAAAAAATCACTTTCTTTTGAGTGGAATTGTTGAGTGTTCAATGAGTGTTCACGAAAAATTCAGGTCGAAATGCATTGTCTTCTGTTCACTGACATGCTTTTACTATGTAAAACATCAACGAAACGAACGGACAAAGGATTGCGGGTGGCTCGCCCTCCTATTCATATAGCCCATATGATTTACCATCCATTCAACGACGCAAGTGAGTTTTACCCAAAACGTTTAACATTCACCCAGATTTGAAAATAATTAATCCCCTATTAGATTAATCTATCTTTAGATCTGCAAGTACTTCCAGGTGGATTCTTCATCATTTGCATGAATGAATTCGATGCACCATCCAGTATTTACTTGATGCATACAACTGATGAAAAAGAGACTAGGAGGTAAGAAACTATCACAGATTTGCCAGTGGAGTCCCATGTATCTCTTCAGGTGGTTGGAAATGATTAACATCACCAGCAATGAGTTCAAAAGACTTCAAGGTAGACAAAGTGAATTTGATGGCCCACTCTACGACCTGAGGAAAGGGTGAGTGACTTAGTCAAAGAGTCAGCGTTAAGACTGTTAGGTTACCCAAGCGTTTTAGACCCCCATGGCAACAAAATTCATCTAGTAACTTAAATACTGGCATAGTACATCGAAAGAGCAGCAGCATGGATTCGCAGGTGGTCGCCGCTCATGCCCATATGAACCGTAAGTTTTAAAATTGACAAGAGTTTCGTTCATAGCTAAAAAAAATCCAAGAGAGTCATACTTTCTCAAACCACAATATCGGTTACATCTGATCAGCTTAGTAGAAAGCAACAACAATTTATGCTAATCAGTGGCATGAATTGCTTGTTTTCCGAGTTTTTTTTGGCTTCATGTTTATCAGGTTCGTATCGTGCATTTTGATGAACGAAAGTCTGTCCAAACAGTGCTTTTTTTAGATATGCACCGAGCAGCCACCGTATCCTCTACGGAACAGCTGGATAGGAACCCCGAACGGATCGAATCACCAAGCCGTCTTCCACCCATGCATAAACTGAGCATTGCCAGCTACCCACTATGTGGCAGCAAAAGCAGTGTCGATCTTCATTTAAATCTTGGTGCAGAGCCCTCCTCTAGTGGGTTGAAATGTACACGGTCAAGAGAACCTTTGATGTTATGGTTTTTACAGCCTCGGCAGTAGAGCGACCGTTTCTGACACGATCACTGTCAAATTCTTCAGAGCCTGAGGCAGATGGTAAATTGTCGAGAAGTCCTTCACCTCGAAGGAAAGAGACCGCTAAGTGAGCTGTTTCGGAATTTTCAGAGCTTTGTAAAATCTAAAGACTTTTCTCTCAGCTGCACCATAAATGAAAGCCAAAATACAATTTTATAAGAAAAACCTTTGCATGCAAACATTATAACCATAACTTGGTTACACAAAACAAGCCGTGTGGATGCTTCCATCAAAGTCGGAAGTCACGATGAAAGTTTCTGACAGATCGAAAAACTGGAAGATTACATTGCCTTGTTCTAACCAGCTCTATGTGATGTATTCTGGGATGAAATAAGATTGAATTCCTTTGATCTCGTTGCAAAATACTAGAAAAAAGAGCAAAAATCATCTCCTCGTTATCTAGATCCGACATTGTACCACTTCCGGAGGAACTCAACGGTATAACAGTGACTCCTACCGCCGAGGAAGAGCTCACACAACCGCAGGGCAGACGATTTGAGAAGCGGTACTATACGATTCAATGAAGCAGATCTCTATCATTATCTTCCGTCCTTTAGATACCACACAGCTGACGGCATCGATGTGCTGAAGCCGAAAGGAGCAGTGCTGCAAGGCGGCATTCTCAAACGATTCTCTTGGAATGTAAGCTCCGCTGTTGGAGCCAGTAGTCGTAAAATTTCTGCTAGATTAGGAGAAGTAAATCATGACTTTTATGTTCCTGTTGATACGAAAGACAACCTTTTTCTTATAGCATAGCCGCAGACATTCTCAAGCATCAACAGCTGCGTCATCCGAATCGTTCGGAAGTTCGACATCGGGAATTTCTTCCTCATCATCTCATGCCGATCCAGAGGTATGTTGAGATAAGATTCTCGTTAAAACAAGTATCTAATTTCTTAGCAAAAATTAAAATTTGGTCAAAAATTTCAAGAACTAAGCAGAAACAGAGATTCCTTTGATATCGGTTCATGCGGATAGGGGTAGCAAGCATAAAGGTTGTTGTGAAGATGATAAAAGTAAGGCACACAACAAATATATCGTTTTACAAGCAGTGCATACCGCAGTGCCCAGTCTATCGATTTATCCTTCATATATTTTTTCCGATTCGCCCTGTTGCTCTGCTGTAAAAAACGGCATTCTTTTCTTTCCAACCTAATAATTACGAGATGTGCGCTCTTATGCTGCAAAACGCATTTGAATTTTAACATGATCACATGGAAGGGCGAAATGTTTACTTGTTAGTTCTTTAATGGCCAGCGTCGCGCTTTCTGTTGCTCCAACGAATCACTCGTTTCTGTTTGTAAAATGTTTTCTTTTTAGCGACTCATGGTATGAGAAGAAAATAAATACTGTTAAATCCAACTTCTTGTTGTCAGTTCATATCAGTGCAAAAATTCTAGATGACCATAATCCGCAGGCCAAGAATTCACAAAAAAAAAAATTCTGGCGCTTTTCTGGCACATCGTTGAATTCACTCACACACAGACCACACTGATTTAGTGCTTGAAGACGCATATCTCGACTATCGCCGTAAATGACGAAGATGCGTCCACGACCGCTACCGTAAACATCAGTCTCGACGTGCCAGAGGAGCGTAGCGATACAATCACGGTTCGTGCTCACTTTGCTGATGTTAAATTTCCCGTATGAGTTAGTCTGTGGCACATAAGATACTCTACTGCAGTCTCAAAACAGCTCATAGTGTATAAGTGCTGTCTTCATTTGGATTCACAGTACAAAAAATTGTCTCTAGCAAAATCTTGACTATTTATTTTGACAAGATCGAAATCAACCATCAACTACTGACAGAATTTGATGAGACGGTTTGCCACTATATTAGAAAGCGAAGTAAGGCTTAATTCGACCTTTTGGAGCATATTCTCATTAATAATATGCAAAAAAATTGCCCATCTAGTATTTTCGTCCAAGCATGTATTGTTATATTTATATTCGGTTGGAACTGAAATATTTGCATACGATATTTGAAATTTCCTGACTATCTGCTCCATGGCTTAAAAATTTTGGTTGTTTGATTTGCAAAAAGAATCATATATGTGCTTTGTAGTAGTGCCGCGCAAGCTGCGAAGCACCAAATGTAAACTCAAGAATAAAAGAAGAAGAAGATCACTCGAATTTTGGTCACATTTAGTTATGCTCAAAACTTAAAGTTGAGCGTCCGAAATTGCACGTGGTTGTGCCGATAGGATGTTCCTATGGCAGCTATGATTTTCGATTTACAATGAAAAACGGTGAATCTATAGATTTTGTCATTTTTCAAAAATCAATACCTTGTACAAAAATAGAAATAAGCCATACCGCTTTTTTACTGATCATTTCGGATTTTCGAGATTTTCCAGATCGGTGACAAAGGACCTAACTAGAAATGGTCGAAGCTCGAATAATTTAATACATTTTGATATCTTCGCAAACATATTTAGCAGTGATAATATTTTTTGAATTGCTTTTTTCAATCAAATGGTTTAAAACAACCTCTTTCACATAGCGGAAGTTGCATATTTTCGAACAATCTAACGCAACCTTTTTTCCAGCTTAATATCATGAAAGTAGCACCGCAATTATTGCCCGTGTCGTCTAACTCGAATTTTCCAAATTTTTTGTTCATCAAGGTTCTTCAAATCGTTCTTTAATTTTTGTTTGTCCACAAATTACAACCTAAAAATAAAGTTGTATTGGAAGTGACTATATCTTGTCTTGTAGACGCCTTGTGCACTACAGCCGGTGCTAATCACTCCTCCTTTGCCTAACATCCCACCGCCACCTGCCGTCGATCATGTGCCGAAACATCAGGACTTATTGAGATTTATCATGGAAAATCACCTGGAAACCTCGTGAGTACCATAATTACAAAAAAATTTTATGGAATAAATCAAACTTTTTTCAGAGACGTGTAATTGGAGGAATCCAGCCACTCCTTTTTATCTCTCTCACTCTTGCTCAGTGACATGCCAAAGCTACAGTATTGCTTTTATTTGTACGCATTGTTCTCTTTTTCGAATGCAATTTTGTTGCAGCTGTATTTTCGATATGTTATTCAGATGGTGTATTTTTCTTATGTGCCTTGCATTTTCTTCAAAGCATGTGATTACTGTGCAATAACGTCCACTTCCAGTAATAAATTCTATAATGTAGCTCAACTACGTTACTTTTTATGCGATTAGTTTGCCACTGTTTCCAGTTGCAAGTGGCTGATATTGCTGGGCCGAATCCCATAAATCAAAAATCTTTTTGCTCTGTGGGCAAAAACATCGTCTTCTTGTAGTGAATGTAGACAGGCTAAAATCAAAAGCGAGATGTTATGACACATCCAATATGTGCCACATCAACAAGACGGCACTTTGATATTGGTTCAATTTTTTTACAGATTTCCTTCGAACGAAACACATCGTTTCTTAAAACACTACTATTATTAGGCTGGAACAATAAGCATGCAAAAAGACCTTTGACATTGGCACTTCCTTTAGATTCAATATATTCGTCTGATATAATGTAAGATAAAGAAAGGATCATGGGCTTTCCAGCCATAATGCAAAAGTTATTGTTGTCGTTAGTGTAATTAAAGCTGACAAAGACAGACACTCAATTTGCATGAATATTTGCCCACTGATGCTAATTGGTCCAAAAATTTCTATATCTGTTTATTAGTTAGGACCTGCTCTTTCCAACTTTGATTATGATTTCGCTTGATCGGATGTTTCTACAAAATCTGTGGTTTTTAAAATTCTCAAAATTCCGAGAATCACAGGTTTCCGTAGAAACATCCGATCATTTTAGGAGAGTGATTTTGTTTGGGAATGTACTTACTATTATGAATGAAGAAGTACCACCTACAAGATATCCCAAATGTCTTTAAGCTTGGTTTTCCAGCATAGTGATTTTGTAGATACCCTTCGCTTTTCAGTCAAATTTTGCACATGAGTTCTTCGTTTAGTTGTTAATACTTCCTCAGCATAAAATACCGTTTGCATGGTACAATCACAAGATATCATTCTTGACGCAAATATTATACGATTTTGGGGTCAAGCCAATGGAAAGGTACACACTGTTCAATAATATGTAGCTCATTGGCATTTGAAGCTTTTCCGGAATTAAGATGCAAATCGTATAGCTTCACTTTACATTTACGGAGTTAACCGTTCACCGGTATGTTTATTACTGTAGAATAGGATACAAATACTTAGTAGTGTTCTGCCATTGAGAAGACAACGTTTTTGAAAAGAAAAACCAAATCTTCAAACTCCAACACCAAATCAGTTTGATTCAACAATTCTAGCTATAAGCCTTGCATTTTTGTACTGGATTGTTTTGAAGTCACCTTGGGTCCACTGTAATCGCTGTTTTCTTGATGTTCTCAAAAACTTTATTGCTACACTTTTTTGACGAATTTGCTACTTATTACCATGCTCATCACTGGTACATGAGCCCTCGACTTTTTTTTGTAATCAGTCATAGAAAGCAAGGTTTGCGCAATTCCGCACTAAATGGACAATCGGAATGCTTGCTTTAGAAGGTGTGAGACAATCCCGACATCAATTAACAGCATGCCACGTGCATGCGTTTCGCAAGTATCTGAGGGCCTTTTTCAAGACCAAAGGAAGGTTTTTCGAAATCTGAGTGTACCCTGTTGTTCTATAGGTTTTTACAAAATACATACTGGATTTCGTTCAATTAGGTTGCTTCGTACAGATTTAACTGAGGCAATACTAGGCTGAAAACCTTTGGGACACTCTGTACTGGGTGCGTCAAGAGTTCGAGGCTTAGTACTTTACCTGATAAATTCAGAACGGAAGTATTAGGTTGTCCGGAAATTAGTGTCCGTCAAAAATCTCAACCGCAACAAGTCATAAACTTTTCATTCCAGAATAGCTTTCAAGGTACCATTCGATAAAGCAAAGCAAGCTCTACAAGACTATCTTGCTTTAACAACAGCTCTGATCCACCTTGAGTTTCGAGCCAAAAAATAAAAAGATTCAACTGCCCGAAAAATCAAGAAAAATCATAATTTAGTTTGTAAGAATTATACAAAAATTCTAACTTACTCACGTAAACACTATCCACATAAGACATATATGTACGCTATTGCCGTATTTTTTCCTCTGTTAGAAATCGAAAAAACGAAAATTTTCATACTTTTGCAAAAGTGATGCTGTGTTGTCCCCACATAAGTAGATGTATACTACAAATCTGTAGAAGTAAAAACGTGGATTTTCAGCTTTTTACAAACTTTAGTTCTCGAGAAATTTGAATTTTAGTTTGGACCACCTGACTAATGAAAGCTATGTTCAATATTTCTCGAGAACTAAAGCTTTTAAAGAGCTGAAAATTCACGTTTATACTTCTACGGGTCTGTAGAATACAAACACTTATGTGGGGACTGCACAGTGTCACTTTGGCAAATGTACGAAATTTTCCGTTTTCTTGATTTCTAACTGAGAAAAAAATACGGCAACGGTGTATATAGATGTCTTATGTGGATAGATAGTGTTTACGTGAGCAAGTTAGAATTTCTGCAGCATTCTTATGAACTGAGTCATGATTTTTCTCGATTTTTTGGGTAATTGAATCTTTTTGATTTTTGGCTCGAAACTCGAGGTGGAACAAAGCTTTTCTTAAAGCAAGATAGCCATCTTGTAGAGCTTGCTTTGCTCTATCAAATGGTACCTTGAAAGCTACTCAGGAATGAAAAATGTGTAACTTATTGCGGTTGAAATTCAAAACGGATTAATTTCCGGACAACCTAATACCTGGGAAGAGAGAATTTAGTGCACACATTGTTCAAACAGCTGCAGTTACAGTTCAGCTCCAAGATCCAAAATAGCTTCTTCTGGGCTCAACGAAACTCACATCTTATTGTTAGAGTAGCACGCAGGTAGTTGAATTGAAATTTGTGCCACGCCTTCGCGGTAATCACTTCTGCTTGGAAAATTTGCAGCGTGATAGAGCAAGCTTTTCATCCATAGTCAAAGAGAACGATTATAACTGCTACAAAACCGAATTTGAATATATGCTTATATAGAGGACATGCGGAAAGCACTTAGTGACTGCTGCACTTCTACACACAGCTTTCGAATTCAGTTTACAGAGTCATGGCCACTAGCACGCAGTTAATTCACAAATTGCTATTTATCGTCCGAGAAAATAGTTTTGGCAAACGCAACTACTGCGATGTAATAGCGCAAAGCCTCCGTCACATTGTTGGCATTAACTGTCGTAGATTATTTTTGTATCAGTTGCGGAATAAATTGTGAACACCAAAAATTTTGACTTTCTCGCTCTGCAAAAGTAGTGGTTCGATATATCATTTCCTATACAAACAAATGGCAGCCGTTTTGAGGTCTCAAAAGAACATTTTGTTGAGGCTTAATATAGCACAGGCACGCTGTATACTGCGTATGACGAAAAGCATCGGGCCGATCGGATTCAAATATATTTTAGCATTGGAACTCGCGTTCCGAGAATTTGGCAAGTGCTAAGGAACTAGTATAGCAAATACTCAAAGTCACCACTGCGGGACGAGTTACTATTAACTAGTTGCGGTCATATCTACGACTAATTCTGAGAATCAGTGTACATGAACCTAATCTTCTTATTTTGTTTTTATTCGTTAATTGACGGGTTCAACTTCCCCTCGATTGCGATGAGGTTTTTGCTCGGACAGTTTACTCCTTTAACCCCAAAAAGATTCGCGACAACGTTAGTGTCAATGAAGATATGAGCCAATGTGTGTAGCAGGAAAGAAAAACAATAAAACATATCTAATGTCAAAAACCCAATATATTCAAGAATAGACAATCGCGAAAATGTTCACACTTTGATCTGATAATCACTAGAGCAGCTTTAGACAGGGAAGACGCAGAATTTTCGATCACCACGGTTGTTGTATTGAGCACATCATGGCATCAAAAGAGAGGAATGAAGGTTATTGGAGTGCGAGCCTCACCAACAAAAGGGCGATACTGGAAACTGGAGTGCTTCTTATACGTCTCTTAGGTTCCCATGCACTAACATCCGTATTGGGGTGGGAAACGCAGCTTAAAGCAGCTAGAACCAAGCTTCATATTCTGGAGCTTCGGACATCTTGATTTCTCGCTGTCTGTTCGTCCGCAAGTGTCTCTACAAATCTTTATTATAAACATACTAGCTGGCTTACCCGGCTCCGCCGTATGTTCCAAATAGAAAATTCCATTTCTCAACCGATCCGGACCAAACTTGGCACACATACCCTTCGGGCCCCGGCGGGTGTCACAGTCCACTTTTCGTTATCGATCGATGTCGATTTTATCGATTTTTTGCAAAATTTGAGCTAGGGGGCTGGGATTTGGCACAGGGGGGTAATCGAGCATGCTGATCACCCCCGTGGGGTGATCGATAAAAGTAATGCACGATTTTAAAAACTAATATTGTATTCGGGATCCCCATGCTCACTTACCCCCCTGTGCCAACTCCCACCCCCGTAGTTTGAATTTTGCAAAACAATCGATAAAATCGATATCAATCGATACGAAAAGTAGCCTGTGACACCCGCCGGGGCCCGAAGTGTATGTGTGCCAAGTTTGGTCCCGATCGGTTCAGAAATGGAATTTTCTATTCGGAACATACGTACACACATACAGACAGACAGACAGACATACAGACAGACAAACAGACAAATAGACATTCAGCTTTATATATAAGATTCCGTCCTCTTTTCTAGTCCCTACTGCTGTGAAAGTTGGACAGTGTTTTCCGTGATGAGCTATGAAAATGGCTTGGAGTTCCCAAGCTCTTCCAGTCCACGGTTTCATGGCAGGATCGTCGATTGCCGCTAACCTCGCTGACTCAGTCTTTGACTCTTTAGCTTCAAATCGAAGCTATTCCTTCACCGTTATTTAAGTTAGTGCTCCAGGGCCTCCCGCACAATTTTTCTACTGCTCCATGGTCTCCCGCACCCTTTTTGCAGTGCTCTTGCGTCTCCCGCACCCTTTTCCCAGTGCTCCAGGGTTTCCCGCACCCTTTTCCACTGCTCCATGGTCTCCCGCACCCATTTTCCAGTGCTCTCGCGTCTCCCGCACAATTTTTCTGCTGCTCCATGGTCTCCCGCACCTTTTTTGCAGTGTTCTCGCCTCTCCCGCACCCTTTCTCCACTGTTCTCGCGTCCCCGCACCCATTTTCCAATGCACTCGCGTCTCCCGCACCCTTTTTGCAGTGCTCTCGCGTCTCCCGCACCCTTTTCCCAGTGCTCTAGGGTTTCCCGCACCCTTTCTCCACTGTTCTCGCGTCTCCCGCACCCTTTTCCCAATGCTCCGGGGTCTCCCGCACCCTTTTTCCACTGCTTCATAGAATCCCGCACCCTTTTCCCACTACTCCAGGGTTTTCTGCACCCTTTTTGCAGTGCTCTCGCCAGGGTCTCCCGCACCCTTTTCCCCGTGCTCCAGGGTTACCCGCACCCTTCTTGCAGTGCTCTCGCGTCTCTCTCACCCTTTTTCCAGTATTTTTTTACCCTGAAGCACTGGAAAAAGGGTGTGGGAGACGCGAGAGCACTGGAAAAAGGGTGCGGGAGACCATGGACCACTGGGAAAAGGTGCGGGAGACGCGAGAGCACTGGGAAAAGGGTGCGGGAGACGCGAGAGCACTGGAAAAAGGGTGCGGGAGACCATGGATCACTGGGAAAAGGGTGCGGGAGACGCGAGAGCACTGAAAAAGGGTGCGGGAGACCATGGATCACTGGGAAAAGGGTGCGGGAGACGCGAGAGCACTGGAAAAAGGGTGCGGGAGACGCGAGAGCACTGGAAAAAGGGTGCGGGAGACGCGAGAGCACTGGAAAAAGGGTGCGGGAGACCACGGATCACTGGGAAAAGGGTGCAGGAGACGCGAGAGCACTGGGAAAAAAGGTGCGGGAGACCATGGATCACTGGGAAAAGGGTGCGGGAGACGCGAGAGCACTGGAAAAAGGGTGCGGGAGACCATGGATCACTGGGAAAAGGGTGCGGGAGACGCGAGAGCACTGAAAAAAGGGTGCGGGAGACCATGGATCACTGGGAAAAGGGTGCGGGAGACGCGAGGAGCACTGGAAAAAGGGTGCGGGAGACGCGAGAGCACTGGAAAAAGGGTGCGGGAGACGCGAAAGCACTGGAAAAAAGGGTGCGGGAGACGCGAGAGCATTGGAAAAAGGGTGCGGGAGACCACGGATCACTGGGAAAAGGGTGCGGGAGACGCGAGTGCACTGGAAAAAGGGTGCGGGAGACGCGAGAGCACTGGAAAAAAGGGTGCGGGAGACCATGGATCACTGGGAAAGTACTCTGCGTTGATACCACTGCTT